TCTTCTTCAGAAGAGAGCCAACAAAATAAAAAGAAAGTATGAGTTTAATAAATAAAAATCCTCACATTTTATCAAATTTATGGAATAATAATAAGAACAGATAGGTTGCTGGGTTTTTTATTACTGTTTCTTGTTATCTATATAATTATGAAAAAATATTTAATTATATAAAAGATGCAATCTTTTATAGGTAAATAAAAACATCTAAGTAACTTTTAGTTCATTCTTTGGTTACGATTCTGTTATATGGTTCATAAAGACACTGGTTGTGTTGCTAACCCATCCAGCCCAGAAAGTAGCAAAAAGGGTGATTGTAAAGTAAGTACCAACTTCATAGTGCACTATAGTGCCTAAACTATGAAGCTTACACAAAACGTGTGGAATCAAGTGCAGTAGTTATCAGATCTTGACAGAGAATGTGTCACGGTTACATAATTTCCATTGAGGTATGCCAAGTGGTGGCCAAATATACATCTACCACATATTCAATTATTAATGCACGTATTCAACATTGGCGCTGCCAGCCCCATTTCATGAAGTATACAAACATGGTGCGAAAATTACCCAAATATACATAGAGTCTTTAATAACCAGGTAACTTGAAAACCTAGTGGCCGTAGAGGGAAATGACTCTGTCTTCACCAAAGTGTGTCTATAACAGTCTAATTCTTCTGACCTGGTGGCTTATATGGAGACAAGCACCCTCTTGCATAAACCCTGCAGTGTCGAGCATCTGTTAATGTTGCAGCTTGGGATTATCTGTCGTTGTTGTAACTGTGGATTGCAATATGAGCAAGCAGGTCATGTAATCACAGATTATTCACTGTGTAACTTGGGACCACATAATGTTGGTACCTCCAAGAACTACAGACTAACAAGAAAGTTTGTCTCTAATCCATACAAGGCAGTCGGCTTTGTACTTTATCATTTAGTTACACGAGTAAAATTTCTTGTTGAATACTGTCCAAGACATCATCAGGGTAATGCAGATACGCTTCCTTCAAATTGATTAAAAGCTGCCCAGTCATCAAGCGTCTTAATGTAGAATATTGTGCTGTGAAAACGTTTAACATAGCAGGCACTAATAACGCCAATAATGGATGAACGCCACATATAATCACTCAGGAGTTTCAGTAGTAGGAGCTGAAGGACACAGATCTAACTTTGATGCCGTTTATAATACATCAAGAAGTAGCACTAACGTCACAGATACTCGTAATCTCTAGCACTTATTCAAACATTTAGAGGTGCAAGATGATATATTGTGCCGTTATTATGAATCCCACACTGTGATGCAGATAGTGATCCTGAGAGCTCTTGTGAAAAACGATTCTCCAGACAGTCTATTATGCATGGATTGGTGAACATTAGAATTGTCAAAAAATTACAGCCATTGCTTTGAAATCAGTTACTCTGGATGCATGCTTAACAGAATGTTAATAGGAGGTGTGGTCACTTTACTGTGGTTGTTACTTAGACGGAAAGCTGTCTCGGGCAGAAAGTAGATACATATATTGTCAGATCCCTTCGAAACTAATAGGGACAATTCATATGCACAACAGTATGTCAACCTCTTAACTTTAGGTGAAAAAATCATGTCTCATAGTTTAAAAACTTGAGTTTCATGAAAGAACATAAAACCCATGGAAATACTGGCTGGAAATCAAACATCAATGGAGCTACATTTGTGATGAACCAATAACCGAGCAGATGTACTACTTGAAAGGCTGGCCAAGATGGAATAATTAATCTCAGACTTATCATGGGTGGGAATAAAATCAATCAATAGCTACTAAGACAGTTGGTGATATTCAGTAGTACATCTAGATTATCAAAAGCTAGGACAATTGGTGATATTCAGTAGTACATCTAGATTATCAAAAGCTAGGACAGTTGGTGATATTCAGTAGTACATCTAGATTATCAAAAGCTAGGACAATTGGTGATATTCAGTAGTACATCTAGATTATCAAAAGCTAGGACAGTTGATGATATTCAGTAGTACATCTAGATTATCAAAAGCTAGGACAATTGGTGATATTCAGTAGTACATCTAGATTATCAAAAGCTAGGACAATTGGTGATATTCAGTAGTACATCTAGATTATCAAAAGCTAGGACAGTTGGTGATATTCAGTAGTACATCTGGATTATCAAAAGCTAGGACAATTGGTGATATTCAGTAGAACATCTAGATTATCAAAAGCTAGGTCAATTGGTGATGATGACTAGGCATCTAAAATATCAGTAAGCCAGTAGAATTTGCAACAGTTACTTTCTTAGCACCCAGGTGTTTACATGAAAATGATTTAGTATATGTGCATGCAGTTATCTCTTGTACATAAAACCACACGAAGCAGAAAGGTCTAAGCCTTGCCGTAAGCATTACAGCAAACAATCGAGACTAGAAAAGCCACATGTAGATTCACTAGATTTTGCTTCTGTTTATTTCTTTTGATGCCAATAAAGTTCAATTTTCAACCCATAGATGATAAAGCAGTAACAAAGAGGTGGTCATCTATAGCTGTTTCCCTACTGTAGCCATTATCCATTTTTATAATTATGTTACTTCTTAGTATAGTTAGAATTGATTTATATCTATGAGAACGATGTTCCAGGACCCATGCTCCCCTACGAACTACTTCCTTTATCATCGATTGTGCTCAGTTTTATGGTCATGCTTATGAACCATTTCCTGACACTGCATTTCCTGTTGTAACAATCTCAACTGGAGTACAGTGAAATCAAGTTTAGACTATACATTTTGACAAATATTCCATGGATCATCTATTGCACATGGTTTCAAAACCATGCTTAAACAAACCACATACACAAACATATTATTATGAGTTTACACTCAGTTGACTTGACAGACGTACCAGAGATGGTATAGCACGAGCCTCCGTTTATTTTCCAGATCCCCGTTATCCCGCACACATCACCAGTGTCACTAGGGGTCAATTTATGTTATTGTAGTTTATAGTTCTTTATGGGGCCAATATTTTTGGAGAAATTTTTGTACAGATGATTCAGATAAACACAACTTGGTATTCGTAAATACCCAATATGTGAATTATCACAACGGTAGTGAGATTTCTGTGTAATCTTCTTTTGCTTATGTTATTATCTAAGTGAAAGGTATTCATATTTGAAGTGGCATGCTTTTTCTGTTTTGTTATATGATTATCCCTCCTTTATATGTTTTCCTTCAGCCATACGCATTGCATTGTAGCATTCAAATATTTCTCTTGGAAAAAATGTACAGATGTTGCATATGTTCTCCATGACACTTCTTAGTAAGCCTAAAAACACTAGTTCAGTGGAACCTCCTGTTCGTTGTATGTCCGAGTGCATATTCTTAATCGGAATACCACAAGGCAAGAGAATCTTGACAAACTCTGACGCCAGGAATTATCATTTGATCTCGCAGCAAACAAATTATTAAAGCTGTTAAAGCTTTCTAATATTCACTAAAATTGAAAGTCAAAGAAGCATAATTTATATCAATCAGTGTTAGTCAGTTTTGTGGTATATTTACATAACTCATTTCTAATTAATAATGTTCGTGTATTTAAATAAATTAATAATACAGAAATATCACCAAATTTAGCATTTACTCTCCACTTCCAACAATTACTACATATTAAGACTTTGTGCCAATAGGTTTGCAATGGACATTGTAATGTGTAATTTTGTGTTTCTACGATACATGGAAAAAATAATTATACTTTATCAACTTTTATGTAATTATTTTCATTGGAATATTTAGATAAAGATGAGGACTTGCTTTAATAATGTGATTTACCTCCCACTGTATTGCTTCTGAAAATATGTTAATGAAAGTTGTTATAAAATCTATAAGCATAGGTCCTATACCAAAATATTTGTTATTTTCATGTATAAAATTTGTAATTTCTATCAACATGTTTTGGATGTGTGCTCATAGAATATTAATATCGACGTTTTAAAGTCATGTGACGGATTTATAATTATATATTTATTTTAATATCAACGTTTCTTTAGATTGAGTTTATATTTAAGAAATATGTATACATTATAGTGTTAAATATGTATTGCGAAACTTCTGCCTATTCTCTAAAGTTGTAGAAGACTCTCGAGTGTAAGAATCAACAATACATGTGTGTACGTAAACGCCAGTGTAGCTTTATATTGTTACGTAATCTGAATTTACGAGAAACTCTCCACACGCCTACAAATATAACCAACGCGACGTGCCTAAAAAGAGAGTATATTTTATTTGTTTGCTAAAGTTGGTGTGCTATAAACTTCGGAAGCTATAACTGTGATTGTTATAACACTTATTAATCGGGACGCTTCCGATATTTGACCACGAACATTTATAAATTTCGAATATTATAAACCATTTAACTTCAGTGGATTCACATCGACATTAGTACTTTTATGAGAACATTTCTTAACTTCAACGGTGGAAAACTCGGCGAAGAATACAGACCTACTTAGCTCCCTATTAAGTGAATTGTACTTACGTCAGCTTGAAATTAACTCGTTCATCGTCAATCCTCGATAAGATACCAAGGAAGTTCCAGACTTGAAAGAATACTTTATATTGCTTGTAAGTTTATGAAACTTTTGTAAATAAATCATTTTTTGTAATAACTGTTACTGTAAACTGTAAAGTTGTTTGTATATTAAAACATATTTGTATTAAAAAAATAAAACTGTGTGTATCAATTTTGTTGGCAAATATCATAAATTGGATATATCGGCATATGTTTAACTACTAAATTTAAATTATCATTTATCTCGGTTTCAGACGATTCGAAATTGTAATTGTAGCAGTCAATGCACAATTGTTTCAGAGACAACAATAATCTATTGCACATATTCTAGTAAGGTTTATTTGACAGATTTACATTTCATTTTGTTACAGTTTCACACTTTAAGTTTTAGTACAGCTAAACCTAATATACAACTAGAATAATTTTCTTTAAACTGTAAAACAGATCTTGCTATATAGAAGGCACAGTGAAAATCTCCGATTGTAAAATAAAAATAACACTTAGAAACCAACGGTAATAATTTCACAGACAGTTTTGGAACAAAAAATAAATTAGCAGCCGATTCTATACACGACGCTACACACGGTGATAGTCCATCATCTCGTTCTAGAAAGTTCATCATCTGCAAGAGGAATGTTTTTAGGATCGACATCTTCTCTGATTGCACTCAGTCTGTCTTGTAAAGGATCTGACTGCTTATAGCAATCAAAAATATGAGGTGCACCTGGAACAGGTATGGATATATTTACTGAATGGGGTATGGAAGGTGGTTCTTTTGACGAATCAAGATCTGCTTCTGATTCAACATTAACCATTTCATAGTCTAAATTGGACATTTTATTCAAGTCAAAATCGGAGTCCTCCACAGAATTCGGATGGCATGTGGTAGTCTTCCAATGTGTTCGTAGACCTGATGCACTGATATATTTTTTATTACACGTGTTACACGTATACGGTCTTTCGTTGGTATGAAGCCGCTTATGTAGCTTAAGATGCACAAACTGCGTGAACTTGGCTGGACACAAGTCACACGTGTAGGGTTTCTGTCCATTATGAAGCCTGAGGTGGGTCTTCAAATTGCTCGTGCTACTAAAACGCTTTTTACAAACTGTACACTGGTGTGGTTTCTCTCCTGTGTGCACTAGATGGTGCTTCTGAAGATGGGCCAACTGGGTAAAAGTCTTGCCACAAATATTGCAGTCAAATGGACGCTCACCAGAGTGGGTTCTAAGATGAACCTTCAAGTTTGATAACTGTCCAAACGTTTTATAACACACATTGCATTCATAGTGCATTTTACCGTTCTTTTTCTTTAATGGATACGGTAACGAACGGAAACCACGTCCTCCATGACTGTCTGAAAAGTCATTACTGAGGCTCTTGGAAACTCTGGATGATGGTGAATGCGATTCATTTAATGGACTTTTACGATCCAGATGTTCTGAAATTAGGGAAGTCAAAGATAACTGATAGCTAGGGTAACCATTGACTTTCGGGTAATCAGTACCGTTAGGGCTTGGAAGCGTGGAGTGGACTCTTTCTGTAGAATCAGCATACATTTTAAAATGTGCTGGTGAAAACATTTGGCTCATGTTGTTCACGTGTGAGATGTTGTTAGGAGTCTGTAATGCATACGTTGGCTGTATACCAACAGAACTGACTGCCTGATGAGCTTTGTCTGTTGAGTCAGGGCTGTGCATCTCCAAGCTTTGACTGGGAGACACCACTGGGTAATTATTCCTGTGAAAGTAAATGGGATCATTGTTTGAGTATGGCTTGAGCATCGACTCACTGGACACAATCACAGTTACTGGTTCTTTTAGCGATTCTCGGTAAATGTACTCTCGCTGTAAGGGTTCTGGAGGAAGGGCTTCTTTCTCAGGAAATTTTTGTAGAAGGAGATTTTCCAAAATGCCAGAAGGTGGTGGTTTTGGACTTTCTCCTGACATTCTTTGTCCTATTCCCTCGTATGTGGAGAGGCTTGACACTTCCCTTACTTTGTGCTCTTCAGGGAAATTTGGATTTGTGGCATATTGGGGATTGACAGGTGTTGGTAATGAGTATTGTGATTGTGGGGGGTCAGGAACTTCTTTAGGAGGAGATTTATTCCGATAAAGATAGGTCTTTGACATTTTAATTTTCACTTTTCGGAACTCGTTCTTTTCATTATCAAAATAATTTTTCTCAGCTAAGTTTTCTTTTTCCTTATCTTTCCTTTTCGTTTTCACACTAAAGTCCAAAACGAAATTATTATCACAATCGCTATCACTGCTTCCATCTAGTGGAGTGAAAGGATCATCCTGACACCCATTACTATGGTAACCCTCATCGCTCCGGGTGCTTCCTTCTGTCGGCGTGAGATGATTTGTCTGAGGAACGAAGAACTGTTCACTAACGGGTTGTAACTGTTGTCCTATAGAAGAAGAAAGAAATATAGGTATTAATGGCAATGCTTATGTCTCTCGATTAAGATGCATTCAATTCTTAAGAGAAAAAAACATCATACTGTAATAACTAATACGAGTTGATAAGTTGTACAAATTGGTAAAGTTTGCAGGATTTAAATTTTACACAAAACTTTTTAGCGTTATAAGCCCTTAGTCTTACGGTTAAACAACCATAACTTATAAGTCCAATAAAATGTTTTTGTTTTGTTTTTTCAAAGAAGAAAGAACTGAGCCTAAAGACCCGGTAGCTTACTTCAAATCAACCGCTCAGCAAGTATGGTCTCGAATCCCACGAACTTCACTTTTTATTTATCAAAAAACCTTTTTATACAATATTTGTTCATTAGCTGCATCATGATTAACTGATTTGATTTTCGGGGTACTTAATGAATCAACCAATGATCAATAAAACTTATTTTACTTACGTATTTTTTGCAACATTAACGCTCCAGTCAAAGGGTAGTTAAGCCTTTCAGCGAACTCTCTGCAGTACCAGACCAGGAGCTCCTCATTGGGCAAAACGGGCTTGATTGTGTAAAAGTAGATATGCTGCCTCACTTGGCAGGCTACAAGATTTTGGCTCTCAGTGGAGTATGCTGGATTGACATATCTCATCCAATTCGCCTTACTGGTGTCAAAGCCATCAATATAAAAGAAATTGTCCGAATCACTGTATACCTAATATAGAAAAAATAACAGTTTTGTGATTAGTGAAAAACCACAGTAAACGGAACAAAATGTCAGAAATCTGATAAACTGGTTTCAACACATTCGTGAGTCCTCTTCAGTCTCACATATTTTGTAAGGCTTTTGTTCTACCATACCCATTAAAGCCGGTAAATTTTTCAAGTAGCATACTTAAGTTTCTGCATACTCTGGATAAACAGCCAGGAAAAAGACCCTCTAAGATTCAGTTATAGCCTTTCATAATTTTGAGGTACTGGCCGGACAGAAAGCATCCAGCAAGTAGCTATTTGAACCGAATAACGGAACTCATTACCAATTTTATATCGCGCACACAGCCAAAAATTCAGATCGTGTTCTACAGAAACACAACTCGAATGTTGGAACTTTGTTTCTGCAGCTAACCGCTAGGCTACGTTCGGCCGTAAATGATATAGAAACAACCTCTTATTTTATACAAATATAATAAAAAAAGGTTTAAATTTTATAAAGACAAGTATGGATCGATATATACGTAACCTAGCTAGTTATAGTAATATAGAAAGTTTTAATGCTATAAAAGTATTAAAACAAGAAAGTCAAAACTACAAAAACTTAGTCACTTAAAATTTAAAAAAGAATTATCCCTTCTTTTGGTCAGACTAACATAATTACACTGATTTACCAAAGTAGGGATAATGTTTTTTTTGTTTTTTTTCATTTTAAGTCACTCAGTTTTGTAGTTTTGACTTTCTTGTTTCAATAAGCTTTAGTTTTGCTCAGCCAATACTGTGAAATAGTCATTGTTAATATTCAGACATTTTAAAGGTGGTTTTAAACGAGCGATTATTGTGGCCGCCATTTTGTTTCATTACGATCCTTAATATTAGATATTACCGTACGTAATGATAAACACACAATTGGGTATTATTTCAATACGTGTGAACTAATGAGCTGGATACTTTTATTCAAGATTTCGAAGAATTACATCTGACTAAGAGCTGATCATAAAATTACTCAATTATGATGGATATGCAGGGAAATGTCTAAAAATGAAACTATTTTAGTGTTTTAAAGCAGAGTTTGCTTATAAAACACATTTTTTACTATTTTTTATTCTTAAGAAATGAAAAAAATTATATTAAACGTTTTAGTTAATACTTTACATTAGAGATTTAACATAATCTCGAATTCACGGTAAAACTAATAATTATTTCCATTATGTGCTATACAGTTACACAGAGAGAGTCTGTTAAGTATTACTTTAAACTAATACATCGTTATTACTATAAATATATACCCTGATTAACACGTTAAATATGCCAAATAACCCGAGAATAGGGTGACCACTATTTCCGAACACAAACTCCTACTTTTTTTCTTCTGAATTATGTACAAGTGACTTAGGTTCAATGTAGAAAAACAAAGGAAAAGCACACGTTAGTAGAAGTATATGAAATACTAAACGTATTGTAGATGATTACCAGACACTCGACAATATACTTGAATTATCTTCCAAATATGGGACATCTCTTATTCAACAGTATACTTATAATTACCCAAAAGTACGCATTTTATTTGAGAAAAAATTTATAAACCTGCAGATTATTCCACAATTCACCATAACTAAACGATCTGATGGTAATTTGAACCATTACAAACAGCGAACCCGTTTAAAACAAGAGGGAAGCCTCAATAGCTGCGGCACTTGAAATTATCTTAGGTAAGATCAGAGTAAATTAATCTGGGAGACCATTTTTTCTTCTTTTTATTTGCTATATTTTTGTGCGGAGCGCGCGCGTATACCCGATTCAATTTTATTACTCAACAGGATCTCTACCAGCCTACCCTCAAATTGAAATTATTTCCGGCAAGATTAGAGTAAATTAATCTACGAGACCTTGCGCGTGGTTAAATATATCGATTGAAAGGGTTTGACCTCCTGAGTCCAAAACTGTAATTATATCTCAAATCTGTCAAGAGCTAATGGAGCTACGACTCGTTCTATGAGCCGCTATGCCCAGGCTAAAAAATGCTCCTTTTAGTTTCCTGAAATACCTTAATCTGTAGCGTCTGCCACGAAGGAAAAAGGCAGATGGTGAGGAGTTAGTTATTTTCAAAGGTCAGCCAAAGAACGTCGATTGTGACAGGCAGTTTGATAAACTTCATTATTATTATCATCATTTGTACGAATTCATAATAGACACAAAACATCTAACATCATATAGTACTTTTTCTAAAATAACTCTCAACTTGGGCCACAGCTAAAAACTGTTACAAACAGTTGGAACAAACAGTAGTTCTCTTTACTTGCTTGTGGTTGCGACAAACTTCAACTGATAGCATATGGTTTGTGTCAACCAAGTCTGTCGTTAAAGATAGGCAACCAGCTAGCTACCTAAGCCGTTGTTAGTAGGAGCGCACCTTAATTTCTGCCTAGGGTGCTAGTTAAGCTATCGCCTGTTCTGAACTCAATTTTATTACAAACAATTATTTTATAAAGTTTTACAAAAATACAATTTCCAGTTGTCTAAAACGAATTTGCATTATTATTAATATTATTTTTTGAAATTAATTTTCGTTTTCTTTTATAGTGCACAAACAGGACTCTACAATGCTTATTATTATAACAAATTATTTAAATTATAATAACTAATAACTAAATTGAAACAAAGAGAAATCTTGCTACCAAGCTCACTGAAAATTACTTCTGTATATACTTAATAAAAATCATGCTCTTAACGTTTTGTAGCGAGTGAAAAAAAAACCTTTTTCCTACCAAATTATGCTACTTCTTGTAACAAATAAATTATACGCAGTATTGACTAATTCATTGTAGGGTGGTGAAATGAAGGGAAAAAATTAAGTTGAACTTACCCTCCAAAAATATTTTCTGTTGGCATTCTTAGGAACTTCGTCTGTCTTATATATTTTCCCCACAAGAGGGCCAAAACGCGTCCCTTTTGGAATGTAATCGGTAGCCCAAATACCTTGAACCTATAAAAATAGATACAATCATTCAATTGAACACGTAGTACTGTACAGCATAACCAAAACAAACAATTGAATACATGTTAGAAAAAATTATCTCGGCATTACAGTCAAAATATAATATCCAAAATCAGTATCAAGAGCTGTAACAGATAAGAATATTTATCCACTTAGCTTTGATTACACATCATTATTCCAAAGTATATTCGTTTCCACGTAAATTACAAAACAAAAAATACGCATCAATTTTAGCTACAATCAGAATTATGTAGGTTCTGTCATCAAAACACCAGACTTTTCCCAATTCATCGGTTACTGGCTTTTTTACGTGTATCTATTTAATCCGGTATCCGAATCCGGAACAATGGCACTACTAATAAAGCAAATGGAGAGATTATTATAACTTACGTAGAAAAACATAAACATGCCATTTTTCTGTACGTCTTCCCTTCACCCTACTGGGAGAAAACTTTTTTCTAATTTTTCATTGCTATTGCTACAGCCATATTCTCCCTGGACCCTCTTTACCCTCCCGGCCTGTCATTCCAAGTATTACTCGTGGTATTATAAACGTAAACTGAATAATTCAGTGATACAGTTCAAATCAAAACCGCGTTAAATGCTTTTAAAATAATATTCCTACCAAAAATTAAATATGTCAACTAAAGGTTAATCCATAGATTCTGTGCCTGACATTTCTACTAACACAACGATGTTGTTTAAAGTGCATTAGCCGAGATTAGCCAGAACTTAGCACTGTTTTCCGTAATGTGAGGAAACACTTTCGTTTCCAGTAAAGGTTTTCCTTACACGGTTGAAACGCTCTATTTAATTTTTACCATTATGGCTACAGCTTCGTAAAAGAGAATCCCACAGCCAAAGCACGAATGTGGCTTTATAATGAAAACTGCCACTGGAACACGTGAGAAACAGGAAAATTGGAAATATTTCAAATGAAGAAAACATACTTAGTGGCAAATAAGAATATTTACCTTAATAAGCGTCTATTGTACCGAGATGCAGATGAAACTGTTTGTTTGGAAGCAGAAAAAGATGGTAGTATTTCAGTTTCCTATTTTGATATTTTCAGAACACGTGTCAAAACTTACCCTTTTTCCATGGGTTTCAAACATCTCCATAAGGCCTTGTTCTCCCATTAGGTTGAAGTGTTTTTCCATATGTTCTAAACATCTACATAAGGCCTTGCTCTCCCATTAGTTTGAAGTGTTTTTTCAATAGGTTCTAAACATCTTCATAAGGACTTGCTCTCCCATTAGTTTGAAGTGTTTTTCCATATGTTCTAAACATCTACATAAGGCCTTGCTCTCCCATTAGTTTGAAGTGTTTTTCAATATGTTCTAAACATCTACATAAGGACTTGCTCTCCCATTAGTTTGAAGTGTTTTTCCATATGTTCTAAACATCTACATAAGGACTTGCTCTCCCATTAGTTTGAAGTGTTTTTCCATATGTTCTAAACATCTACACAAGGACTTGCTCTCCGATTAGTTTGAAGTGTTTTTCCATATGTTCTAAACATCTACATAAGGACTTGCTCTCCCATTAGTTTGAAGTGTTTTTTCCATATGTTTTAAACATCTCCATAATGACCTTCTCTCACATATATTGCAGCACGTTTTATTTTAAGTCTCTTCCCACGTGTTCAAAACATCTAAGCAAGGCCTTGCTCTCTCTCATTACAGCAACTTATCTTGCTGTCCAATTATAGCAGCACGTTTTGCTGTTCGAGTATTTACTCAATCCAATGAAATGTGTTATCTACACTTCGAGAACTCTGAACGCACGCAAGTTTCTTGAACTTCGATCTAAAGTAATGTTATATCAATTTTCCTCTCAATTAGTTCTGTATGTAACCTTAAAACCATACCGCTCGACTCCGCTCTTAGCTGACATGCCAATGTCACCGACACCATCTGCATGGGTACCTATCTCTTGACATCAAAACTATGGCCGTAAGCTTTACGCACATCGAAATAATACACGTTATTTTGTAGTCAGAAAAAATTCCAGGCCCTGGTACAACCCCAACACACATACATGCCTCCTATTGGTCAAAGATTTGGCACAATTTTTCTCTCTTTCAAATTTAGTCTTAGAAAATTAATGAATTTACTTCTGCCTCTTTCCTCTGTCAACCTTTCTGTAATCTTTTT